GTATATTCTAATATTCAAATTCTATATTCTAATATTCAAAGTATATTCTAATATTCAAATTCTATATTCTAATATTCAAATTCTATATTCTAATATTCAAAGTATATTCTAATATATATATATATATGAAAGTATATTCTACAATAAATATTATTAAATGTATGATAATTGTGTTATATTTCAATCCAAAAACAGACAGAACTTTCCGGTAGACCTAATAGTATCACGGGTAACCAACTCGGCGACATCAATTCTGTGCTGTCGCTCGCGGAAATGTATCCAACAAAAACTGTCCGATCTTCGGAAAATTGTCAATGTTTAAACTGTTGCAATTCCGTAAAAAAGATTCGCAGGACAAATATCCCCATAACGAAGAATGATTTTTGAATGAATTCTTCATGGCAATCTAACGATAAATAAAGAGATTGTGATTTTGGAATCTCACTTGAACCCTTTCAGCCCTTGCTTTTTTTATTATGTCAAATAGAAAACGATGACCTAAAAATATGTCAATGGAAACGTAGATCTAATAAATCTATGCATTTCTTTATCGTACGCTGCGACAGAAAAAAAATTGCAAAATCGAACCGGACGGACGTGTGTATCTTCGAAAATTCGGGAACAAATCGGCGAAGGGGTGCCCGTTGGGATGACCACGAGCCCCGCGCTCGAGCAATCAATAGTCTGAGCATAACTATTGCGCGAGAAGCAACAATGTATAGTCGACGCACAGGGGAAGGCGTGGCAACGTTCATTGGTCCTTTAATGCCAATGCCAATGTCAGGGTTTCCCCGGTCAGTAACCCAGAAACACCTGCCCCCTCGTGGAATTTCACGGAAGTGGCATCGTTCCAGGGAACTCGGAAGTTCCAAAGGAACTTTCCGCTGAATTCTGCAGGGAACTGCAAGTTCAGCAACTGTTTGCTTTACCCTCCACAGCAAATAGGGGTGGAAAGCTATATCCCTGTTTTCTACCCTTGCTGATATCACAGACCGCAGCGTTATCGACGCGAGAGCTTTCAGCTACCTGCTCTCGTCGGTATATCCGGTATGATAAGAACTGCGGTTTACGTTTGTAGATAAGAGATACGGTTCGATCACATGTATCGGGGGTGTTCAGGAAAGCAGATAAAATTTAGTTTAAAATTTAGTAGATAAAGTTAGTAGACCGCGGAAGTTCGTGCAAATGCATATTATCCTAGAAAATATTTAAAAGAATAAAACCTGAACAGAAATTAGTTTTATGATTGGGGATTATAAAAATACATCTTTTATTTTACAATTTTTGCATAATCTATAGACCTTGCAAATTTATAAATATTTAAGAATCTATGCAATAAGGTACTATAATGCGGTCATTACCCATGTATAAAATAATTTTGATAGAGGATAGTCACCAATTAACAATATTAAATTTGGAGAAATGCTCGTAATTTATTATTACGCGAACTATGTATCGGAATAATTGTGAAAAGCATTATATATATATATATTTATATTACTATATTATATAATATCACTATATTAAATATATAG